AGGTCAGTGGTTCAAGCTCTGAACTGTAACCTGTTAACTTCCCTAATAAAGCCCAAACTGTGAGCATGGTGTGTGAGTTCGGTGTGGCCATTGTAATGAATTATTAAACCACTTGAGAACAGAGTGCTGTGGGAAGACTGATTGGGCCATTTTTGAACTGGAATGACAAATTAAAGAGGAATAGCATTACATTCATAGTAAAAAAGAACATTTCAATATCTATCCTGAAGTACAACACTGTCAGTAGGAGGATGGTATCCATAAACCTAAAGGAAGACCAGTTAACTCAACCAAGAATGGCAAAGATGAAGACTTGTGCAATCTAAAATAGATCAAACATGTAATCAAGATGGATTCATAATCACTGGTGATTGGAATGCTATAATTAGAAACAAAGAAGAGGAACCAGAAATTGGAAAATACAGCCTTAGTGACAGAAACAATGTCAGAAAACACATGATAAAAATTTGAAAGGCCAACAACTTATTAATTGCAAATATCTTTTTTAACAATGTGTGTAACTCACCAAATGGAATATATACGAATCAAATTGACATCTGTGAAAGGAATATTTTAAGTATCAACAGGGTCACCCATGAAATAAATTAACACCAATAATATGAGAATAGTTTGGGTCATAACAGAATTTAAATAACTGAAGATAAGATTCCTGAGGTCTACAGTTGTTTACCTAAAGCTAGTAACACATTGCTTTTTACCTCTCCATGCCATTCTGTTGGATGTTAATGAAAACTTGTGGTCTACTACCCAGACCTTTGCTGTTAAGCCTCGTCACTATACTTACACATATTTTTATGAACTATGCAAGTTTTAAGGAACACGGGTAGCAGCATGGTTAAGTACTGGACTGCCAACCAGAAGGTTAGTGGTTTAAACTCACCACCTGCTGTGTAGGACAAATTTCACAAAGATTACCACTTTGAAAACCCTATGAAGCAGTTTAAATGGTTCTATAGAGTCAGGAATGATTTGATGACAACAGGTATGCAAGCTTTTCCATGCTTTCAGTTTTAGGTTAGCCAGTCAACTGGCCTCTTTCATTTCTCCAATACCTATCTCTTTCCTGCTTCAAGACATTGTCACCTACATCGTCTTCCTGAAAAGATCTTAATTTAGCTAATTCTACTTTATTCTCTGAATCTTCAGATTAAATCTCATTTCTTACAAGAAGAACTCACTGAACCTTCTCCTGCAGCCCTCACCTCAGTCTAAATGGGCTTTTCATTTTTATTCCTTTTAATATTTTCTTTTTAAAATTAATTCTAAAAACAATTTGTAACTATGTTTTTACATAGTTCAGACCGACTTCAAAGTCTGTCTGAACTGCAAGATTGGTAGTTCAAGCTCACCAACCACTTCTTGGAAACCCTATACAGGGTCACTATGGGTCGGAACCAATTCGATGGTAGTTAGCAATAACAACAACAAATTGTACTCACGAGGAAACTGTACACAGACTAAGAGACAGTTGTTCAAACAGAATATGGTGTGAATAGTTTAAAATCAGGAAAAATGTGGACCAGGGTTATATAATTTCAACATATGTGTTCAATCTATAAACTGAGCAAATAACCCAAGAAGCTGGATTGTATGAAAAAGAATGTGGTATCAGGATTGGAGGCAGACTCATCAACAACCTGTGATATCCAGAAGACACAACTTTGTTTGTTGGAAACAAAAAGGACTTAAATTATTTACTGATGAAAATTGAAGACTGCATCCTTTAGTATAGATTGTTCCTCAATGTAAATAAAATAAAAATCTTTACAACTGGACCAGTAAATATCATCATGATAAACAGAGAAATATTAAAGTTGTTAAAAATTTCATTTAAAAAATAGATAAATAAAATTTCATTTTGCTTGAATTCATAACCAATGCTCATGGAAGCAGCAGTCAAGAAATTAAACAATGTATTGCATTAGGCAAATGTACAATAAATAATTCCTTTAAAGTATCAAAGAGCAAAGATGTCAGTTTGAGGACAAAATGTGCCTGACCTAAGAAATGGTGTTTACAACTGCCTCAAATGCATGTGAAAGTTGGACAGTGAATGAGGAAGTCTGGAGAAGAATTGATGCATTCAAATCATGGTGTTGGCAAAGAATATTGATAGTACTCTGGACTGCTCAAAGAACAAACAAATCTGTCTTGGAAGAAGGGCAACCAGAATTCCCCTTAGAAACAAGGATGGTTAAGATTTCATTTCATGTACTTTGGACATGTTATCAGGATGAACCAGTCTCTGGAAGTGGACGACATGCTTGGTAAAGGAAAAGGTCAACAAAAAAGTAGAATACTCCCAACAATATAGATTGACATGGTGGCTGCAACAATGGGTCCCAACATAACCTTTGTGAGGATGGCACAGGACCAGGCAGTTGTTTCCTTTTTTTGTGCATAGGGTCTCTGTGAGTCAGAATCAACTTGATGGCACACAACAACAACAACATCTCAAGAGCCATTCTGAAAGGGGTTTAAAAACCTTGGGATATTAATATAGATGAAGCTTATATTATATAGTGTGGGTTCCAAAAGTTTTCTTTCAACTAACAGTTAGAAGATTACTCTAAACCCTCCCCTTAGGATGTAGAACATATCAAAATTAAGTTTCTTCAGAAGTCTACCAAGGTCCTTTGATCTCAATCAGCTTGTGTTTTAAAATTCTTAGTAAGAGGAGAAAGAATGAAATCTAGATTTTGTTAATGGAAGGTCAAAGGCAAAACTGGATAAACTTTGTCATCTAAGTGTCACAATCCTATTATAATTGATTCTGAGAAAATTAAAATATAACAGTATTTGTTATATAGAGAGTCTAATATACATATATACTTATATATATTATATATATATATAAACATACATATGCTTTTAAAAACAATACTCACTTAAAAATCAGCATAATAGTAGGAGTACTTCCCAGTCCACTGGAAAGAGTAACCAAGGCTGTCAAGGCTAAATATAAGTAAAAATTTTTTACACAGTGATCACTTCTTGGGCATTCACCCAAATGGGCTGAGTTATTTCTGTTCTGGAAACCAGTTATGTCCACACAACTGCAGTTATAAAACACCTAAAAATAGTTTTAAGAATATTGCAGAATATATTTACAAAATATGACAGTCATAAATACATTCAATTATAGTTAAACAAATATTATTCATTTGAACGAAAATAACCATAGTTTTTAAAAGTACACTTATTTAATAGCTGAAAGAGAAAATCATTTCCTATATATCTTTCTTGATAAAAGAAATGTAAGTATTAATAGTTAATTAATTTCTAGTTTTAAAATTAGTAAATAATTAAAGACATTAAAACATATTTGAAACTATGCATTTAATTTTCTTATTAACATGAGTTCTATTTAATGTTTTTCTTTCCTCGATCTTATTTCCTCAAAAACATCTACTTAATCTTTTAAGCAATCTCTGCTAAGTGTCAGAAATAGACCCTGTGGAGGGAGAGATGCCCAGAGAATACAGAACAAATGACAATTTGGGTGGGGCTAAAATGTGAAACCAAAGCTATCTGGTAGAATGGGACAGGGTCCAGCATTTTGAAATGGGTGCTGTATGAGCAAATTCAACATCCAAGAGTATAATGATAGATTACAGAATGGATAACACTATTACAAGAGGCGTTCAACATTAAAAAAATTGTCCTGACTAATGGTTAGAGACCAGAGGGGAAGGATTTGGGGGGGTGGGGGGGAATGATTTTAGAAATTTAATCAGAAAGGCAGTTTATGTCTACAGATGGCTTCAATAAATTCTGTTCTGAGTCTAGGCTAAACCAAAGTTCAAGGACAATTTACTTTGAACCTCTCAGTGCTAAAGATTATGATTGAAGATGAAATTGAGAAAGAATTTAAATTAGTATTTGTTTGACTGTATCAAGCTTTACATTTCTACTAGGAATAAAATGCTGCTGTTCTTAAGCGTGTTGAGTTGGGTCCAAAGCATATCAAACATGCACAGGGTTTCCAAGGAGCAGTTAGTGGGTTTGAACTGCTGACCTTTTGATTACTAGTTCAATGCTTACCCTATAGAGCCACACCAGGAGTTCAAGAATAAATGTATGGACTCCTTTATTGTTGTTAAGTGCCATCGAGTCAGTTCTGACCCATAGCGACCCTGTATAGGGTTTCTAAGGAGTGCCTGGTGAGCTTGAACTGCTGACCTTGAGGTTCAAATGACTTTGTAGTCCAGCACATTAACCCATGGTGCCACACCAGTACTACTTTATAGAAGCAGTAAAAACCAAAGTTGAGTATAGGAATATTTGGAGTTCTGGTGTGACGATGTAGATAAGCACTGGATTGCAAGCTTGGTTTGAACCGCAAGATGGGCAGTACAAACTCACTGGCTGCTCCTTGGAAACATATACAGGGTCCCTGTGAGTCGGAATTGACTCGACAGTACTTAAAAAAACAACAACATCATTATAGCACTAGTTCTGAATTTGTGAATCCCCTGATGACATCTCAGGGATTTCCAAGGAATGACAGATTACAAAGAATTTGGGAAAAGAATGTCCGAATACCCTCCAAATGGTATAGCTATTGTCAGTATTAAGATGATGTCTCCGTGGTAAACAAAGCTCTATTAAGTATTCTAACATACATCTATCCCAGACATTTATTAGTGCTCAAAGTGGGATTATGGATTAATTGAAAACTATGCCCCTAAAGGAGACATGGTGTGTTGCTATAGGATAAGCACAGGACTGGTAACCAAAGGTTGGCAGTTCAAACTCACCAGCTGCTCTCTGAAACCCTGTACAGGGTCGCTATGAATCAGAACCCACTCAATGACATTTAAAACAACAATATGTACATAAATGTGAGATATAGGTTTTTGAGTACAGTTTTCCAGTCATGTTTGGGTAGGTTTATAGACGTTTTGATTCAGTTTCAAAGTTTTCAAGGTCTTTCAATAATATAACTGGCACATTAGGGTCAAATGACTTCTGATGTGGAGCTACAGTCTATGCGCTAGACGAATTGGAGCTCTGGTAGCGTAGTCAGCAGTTCGAAACTACCAGCTGTTCTGTGGGAGAAAGATGAGGCTTTCTGCTCCCGTAAAGATTTACAGCCTTGGAAACCCTGTATAGTGTCGCTATGAGTCGGAATCGACTTCATCGACTTCACGGCATATAACTACCAACCACCATTAACTTCAAGATCAGAGGTTCATATTCACCAAGTACTCCTCGGAAACCTTATACAGGATCACTGTGAATCAAGACCAACTTGATTGCACTTTACAACAAGTTTAATGGAAAAAGCATAAAAATTAGACACAGAACGATATGACAGAGAATAGCGTAGTGGTTACGAATCGGGCTGTGACCCTTAAGGCCAGCAGTTCGAAACTACCAGCTGCTCCGTGGGAGAAAGATGAGGCGTTCTGCTCCTGTAAAGATTTACAGCCTCGGAAACCCTGTACAGGGTCGCAATGGGTCGGATCCGACTCGATCGCACTTAACAACAACAACAACAGTGATAATAACTGATTATGTTACTTATATTGTTGATAGAAAAATGTTCAGGGAATTGTTTACCAACTTTGTGAGCTGTTGGGTGGGTTGACATTACATTGTAGTACAGTATCCCTGATTATCACCCGTTGGAAGTTCCCCACGGGCTTGTGAGAACCGTAACTGGAAAGGAATGTTTGTGTGAAGAAATATATCGCCTATCTATGAATGATGTTGGGATTAGGTAAACAGAATACTAAATTGTACTGGATGGGAGACATACTAGCTTGGAGAAATCATAATCAGAAGTTAGGAATTGAAACTGAAGCCTTGATTATTTGTTAAAAATTCAAAGAGGTAGTGACCCCACTGAATAAATTAGAATCTATATACAAAATTTGTCCTGGAAAGTTGGATTGGGATGACAAAGGTTGGCTTGGGACTTTTCCCTAACTACTGAAAGGCAAAATACTTCTAATTTAATGGAAATCGCATCCTTTAGTTAAATTAGTAGCTGCATGTTGTTGTCATTGTTGTTCAGTTGTTAAGTGCCGTCTTGTCAGTTTGATTCTTAGCAACCCTAAGTGGATTTGAACCACTGAACCACCAATCTTGTGGTTTGCAGTCCAGTGCTTATCCTATAGTGCTACACCAGGAGTGCAGTAACTGCACAGAAATCCTAAATGCATTAAAAATTCAAAAGGGCATATTTTCACAATCTCAAGGCAGGGAGGGAGGAGTGAGATAATCTTAAATTAGAACTCAACAGAAAAATCTACTTGTATCTCAAACAGAATTTTTCCTGAGGCTCTGTTTACATGACACTACAACTATCACAATGACAGATACTTTGGAGATCTTTTTCTTTAATCTCTTCACTGGATATTCTAGTTATAGAAACATTTAATGAATAATTATTCATTTGAATCTGCAATTTTTATTTGGGGGAAGTAAGAAAATAAAAATCAATACTAACTTTAGGCATTTTTGTTTTTTTGCTACTTGAAGATTTGCATCCTGCTAGACAAGGTGAAACATAAGTTATTCCATTCTCTCCACAGAGTGGTTCCCATTGGGTCTCATCACAATTGCAATCTGAGTTGCAATAAGAAAGTGGTACATTTTTATGAGATGCAACTGGGGTTTTCCTGCAAACAAATGACAGACACATATCAAAAGAGGGGAAATGAAGAAAAGGGAAAGGCCCCTTTAATTGTTGTTATTAAGTGCTGTTGAATTGGTTCTGACTCATATCAGCTCGTTATAGGATTTCCAAGGAGTAGCTGGTAGATTAAAACAACAGACCTTTTGGTTAGCAGTCCAGTGTTTATCCTCCAGTGCCACACCAGGACTCCACATTTAATTAGCTAGATAAACTTAATAAAAGATAACACCAAATGTAAAGTTTGTTTTAAATGCTCATAAACTTTTTCACCCATCTTTACCAAGACATGACTTATGATCTATTTGAGTAGAATTTAAAAGAAACACCAAAGTGGATTTGTAAGGCTTAGAAATGAGGTTTTTGCTGTTTTACTGAGAAATGTTAGAAAAGTTACTTTATTTTTCTGGGACTCAGTTTCTCTTCATTGAAACAACAAAGTTAGACTGAGGTTCATCCCAGTTTGCTATAAAGTCCCTGGAATCTGTGAATGTCGCTTAACTAGGTTAAATTTTAAAAAATCTGTATTTTAATCTCTATCTTTCATTAAGAAAATAATTCAAAACAGAACCCTTCAAGTCAATTTTGAAAAATAAGAATAACAGTATAAATGGAGAACAATTAGAAATTCTCCATATATTTTGAAATGAAACTATATTATGTCTTATACTGATTGGCTTTCATGGATATGCATATAAAATAGAGTTTTATAATATGGCTAGAGTGATAAAACGGGGATTATTTGCATTATGAATTTTGTGCTTCTTGATTCTAAAAGTATTCTTGATTTGGGAAGAAACCTTGATAATAATTGAGAATTGATAAGTTCAGCAGTTCACATCCACCAGCTGCCCCATGGGAGAAAGCTGAGTCTTTCTGATCCTGTAAAGGTGTACAGCCTCAGAAATCCTATATAGGATCACTGTGAGTTGGAACTGGCTCTATGGCACACAACAGTAACAACTTTGAATGAGCAAGTAAATTAAATGAAAAAGGAAAAGAAGTTGATTTAGCAATTCAGTTATTATAAGTAAGTTTACTAACTGCATCTAATAGTCATTTCCACTTGAAGATATACCACTGGGATTTGCTAGGCAGCATGGTTCAGAACTCAGTCCAGACATTGTAGTCAGATCCACCTGTGTTAATATTAGTTCTGCCACTTTCTATCTATGTGACTAATCTTTCTAAAACAAGTTTTTCATTTGTAAGTAGTAGACAACCATGTTAACCTCATACAGTTTTTTGGGAAAGGAAATTAATTTAGTAGTGCTCAAACTTTTTTGGCCTCAGAAGTCCTTCATGTTCATAAATGAATTGAGGGTCCTAATTATTTTCCTTTGAGTTTTATCCATTGTTATGTACTCTATTACAAATTAATTTTGAGAACTACTTAATACATAAGTATACGTATCATTAGCCATATGACATCATTCTCTAGTAGTCTCTAGAAAACATTACATACAGTTACGAGAGAATTACAATGAAAAAGGCAAGTAACACTTTGGTAGTATTGGTTTGGCACTGTAGAATAAGCATTGGACTGCTAACCACAAGGTTGACAGTTCAAACCGACTAGTCCCTCCTTGGAAACCCTATACAGCATTGCTATTATTAGTCAGAACCAACTCAATAGCACTTAACAGAAACAACTTTATTATAACAATTATTCTGAATTTGAGAATCCCCTGATACCATATCAGGGATTTCCAAGGATCATCAAACTTCATTCTGAGATTCTGTCACTATTCATATCTATCTATTTATTTCAGTAATTGTTGTTGTTGTTAAGTGATATCAAATCAATTCCAACTCATAGTGACTTGCAGAGATTTCCAAGGAATGACTGGTGGGTTTGAGCTGCCAACCTTGTAGTTGGCAGTCTAGTGCTTATCCTATAGTGTATGCCATAAATATTAAATAAATTATATCTTTTATTTGCTGTGAACAATGAGTTCCAGCATGGAGTCCTGGTGTGGGTTAATGCACTGGACTGCAAAGTTGGTTTGAACGGCAAGGTCGGCGGTTCGAGCTTACCAGATACTCCTTGGAAACCCTACACAGGGTCAATATGAGTGGGAACCAAGTTGATGGCATTTAACAACAACAAAACCAACATAAATTCCAGTATAGGGAATTAATACATCATACAAATCTTGGCCATTCAGGTGGCATACAATAAATTTAATTGAATGAAAAAAATTCCCATATATCTCTAGATACCTTCTGAATAGATGAGATAGTTACTATACTTATATTTGGGGCTAAAGCCTAGTGTGCCTGACAGATGGCCCTCGGAACTAAGAGTACGATGTAGGATCTTCTTGGAGTCATATGTGACAGCAAACAATTCACAATTTCTCTAAGACTCAACTAATAAAGGAAGAGGGTATAAAAATGTTTGGGTTTCATGCTTTTAAGGTTCTTTTATATAATTAATAATTGATATGTACAAACCCATCATAAGTCAAGGTTAGGCCAGCAACTGATTTGGTTTCACAGATTAGTAAAAAATAAAATGTTTGTAATATGAAAGCCAACAAAAAGGAAAAAAAGGATAATTTTGCAATTCCAACCACGCTAAGTTTGAATTTTTTAATGATATATCCTCCTATAAGAAATCCAGATGAAAGAGTAGGCATGCTGAGGAGCCCTAGAAATAAAAGAAAAGAACAAATGCTAATTACATAATATAGTATTCTGATATGTCTTTATGCATAAAAAAAATTATATACCAAGTTCACACCTTATTATTACTTCTTAGGTAGATGGGTGGCTGGTCAAAATAGAAGTTGGGAACCTGTGTACTATATGAGAAAAATAAAACTAATTTCTTCCTTCTTATGCTGAGGGTTAGAGTTCTGGTGTAGCACTGTGGTTTAATGCACTGGACTGCAAACTCATTTGAACTACAAGGTTGATAGTTCAAGCTCACCAGCTGCTCCTTGGAAACCATATACAGGGTCGCTATGGATTGGAACCAACTCACCGGAACTTAACAATAACAACATGCCCTCCAAACCAAATGTCAGTGAATGGGACTATTTATCTGTGTTTGAAAAATGCTTTCTATGAGGCACTTTTTCTCTCTTCTGGAAAACAACAAAGACAAACATCATTTTTCTACCTATGAGATTTTCATTATGTAATCTAAAATCTTCACAAAATGAAGAATTCTGACCTCATTCTAAATTTTCACAGTACTGGAGAATCAAACACTTAAATTCCTATCTCTCTTTATTCATCTAAACCAATATATACCCTGAGAAGACAATCAGACTTATATATGATTTTATGATCATATTTTAAATGGTATATCTTTCTTATAGATTTTCTAATGCATTATTCTGCAAGGATTATTAAAATAATGACTTTTAATAAAATATTCTGGTTGAGAATATTATTGGGAATTAAAACATCACCATTGACAGTTTTAATTTTATAAATACTGAAAGGTTAGTAGTTTGAACTCACTCAAGGTCTGTTGACTATCTGGCTTCGTAAATATGTAAAAAAAACAAGACACTTTTCCCACTATGGGGAAGATCTATTCTGTCACATAAGGCCACTCTGGATCATAACTGATTTGATGGTACCCACGACTTCAGTAAATAGGTCTCAATATGCCTTAAGAAACAGACATCATAGCCAAAAAAAACCAAAACTCTCTAAAATGTATTGTTTGTTTTGCATTATTCAGATATCAGTGATGTGTTCAAATAAGCTCTCCTTCTGGAAATACTAATGCCTTAGTTTTCATAAGTAACTGAGTCTTGATTTCAAATATACTGATGATATTAAAATAATTTGTTTTAGGATTCCAGCACGAAATTATAAACTCTAATTATACAGAAACCATATCTAAATGTTCTATTCACACACACCATTTCCTTCAGGAGCTTATCTGTCACATAATTATGAGATGCAGCTTTAAATATGGAACAGTGATATCATAAGATTGACAAGTTTAAGTCTGTAAGAACATAAGTGGAAATTGTGTTTATTAAAATACAAAACTGCCTTCACAAAAATATGAGCTTGTTTGGCAACTTGTAACAAAAGTAGTTGGTAGTATACCTCTTATCAAGCAAATAGGTAAACAAGATGTCTTACCTATCCAAAAGTTTGCATCAGCTGTTGACTGGCCAAACTGTTGTTCTATGAATTTGAAGATGTAAGTAATACCACCAATAAAGCTACTGAAGCTAAACAATGTAATACCCACAAATATAATGTACAGGGGAGTGGTAAGGATGCTTTTCAGTGACTTTAAAAAGCCTGTAAAAAAAATAACAGTACAAAATATACTCCATCAGAGGTATATATTAGAACCTTAATTTTACAGATACCATGTAAATTATGCAAAATTTAATATTATATAAATCTATAACATAAAAAATGTAAGTATCCTGTAATCCTACTAGTAAAAATTTAAACAGTACTTATTTCTTCAATTTTTAGCATATGTACATTGGTATTTACTTAGGCAAGCTTATCATAATATATCATCATATATAAGAGAACTCTAAAAATTTCCTGGAAAATAAAATGAAAAAAATCATGGAATTTTTTTCACCTTTTTGAAACCCTTCTTATTACTATTCTTCAACTTTCTTTTTCCACTTAATATTTGGTTCTTTTTGGCACTGTACTATATAATTAATACATTATTCATTCATTTAACAAATCTTTCATTATCTGTGGAGTAATAGGCAATATGGTAAGTGTTGGAGAAATGCAAATGAGTAAGAGATGCAATGTCTCTTCCTTATCAATACTTATACTGTAATTTTCAAATAGAAGTTTACTTTAAGATATTATAATCTAAAGCTCTCAGAAACAAGAATACTACCAGTTCAAAAATTCTACATATCAATTTAGTATCAGGACTTAGGTAGATTTTCTACTATAAAGTATGCCTCAGTAAGCAGTATAAATAAATATGCTTTAAAATGTAAGGAAGAGCGATAGAAGATCATTCTAAAGTTTCAGGTGACATTATTACAACCTATTCCCATAAACAACTGAGTAGCAAATTCATAACTTCTATACTTTGGTGATTTGGTTCTGGATTGACCAAGTCAGTCAAGTGTAATGGGAGGTAAAAGTAGAAGAATTACCTTTTAAAAAAATTAATAAGTCAGATTCCAGCAAGATATAGTCAGATATGGTTATTGAGAGATAGGTGATATGGGTCTGTGAGCTTTCTCACTCTGTAGATCTCCAAAGGTTTCTATGAGATATTGTTGTTGTTAGGTGTCATCGAGTTGGTACCGACTCAACAGAACGAAACATTGCCCGGTCCTGGGTCAACCTCACAATCGTTGCTACACTTGAGCCCATTGATGTTGCCATTTTGCCAATCCATCTCATTGGGGGTCTTCCTCTTTTTCTCTGATGCTCTCCCTTACCAAACATGATATTCTGCTCCAGTGACTGGTCCCTCCTGACAATATGACCGAAGTATGAGAGATGAAGTCTTGCCATCCTGGCCTCCAACGAGCGCTCTGATTGTACTTCATGCAAAACAGATCTATTTGTTCTTTTTGTAGTCCATGATACTTTCAATATTCTCCTCCAAAACCATAACTCAAATGTATCAAGTCCTATTCACTGTCTAACTTTCGCATGCATATGAGGGTATTGAAAATATCATGGCTTGAGTCAGGCACACCTAGTCCTCAAACTGCTGACATCTTTACTCTTCAACACATTAGAAAGGTCTTGTGCAGCAGATTTGCCTAATGCAATACGTTGTTTGATTTCGTGGTGCTGCCTCCATGAATTTTGATGGTTGATCTGAGACAAATGAAGTATAGTTAGAACTAAATCTTACATCAAATGGTAACCAAGAAATAATTTCTTGGTGTGGCACTGTAGGATCAACACTGGAGTGTGAACCACAAAGTTGGCAGCGCAAATTTACCAGCTGCTCCTCCGAAACCCTATTCAGCATTGTTGTGAGTCGGAACCAACTTGATGGCATGTAACAACAAAATTAAAAGAATAAAAGAGAGCTTTTTTTTAAAAAAAATCATTTCCTAATAGAGAAGAGGAAAATACCTCATTGTTTCAACTATCTTTGGCTGCTGCTGGATCATTCTCCAGATTATTATTTCTTAGTACTTCTCCATATTTGAAAATGAATACATTAAATATGGTGGAGGATTCTTCTTCATATAACTGACTCCAGTAGACTTAAATATCATAATTATTTCCACTTCATTTTTGGGCATCAAGTTCAGCAATATGTTTTTCTATACAATCTCCAAGAAAATAATCTTACTCTAATTACATGCGTGACAGTGTAGGATACGCACTGGAGAGAAAGGATGGTTTGAATCACAGCCAGTACTTAGAATTCTAGCCACTTCTTGGAAACCCTATACAGGGTTGTTATGAGTTCCGGTTGACCTGACAGCACTTAACAACCACAATTACCTACAGCGAATTGTTTTCCTTTCCCCTGAGCTATTTCTACACTTGAGAATAGTTAAGTTGCCCAACCTATGGTGATGGTGGTTATGTGCTGTGGAGTCGGCTCTGATTATAGTGACCCTATATAAGGCTTCTGAGGCTATAAATCTTTACGGTAGCTGAAAACTTGATCTTGCTACCACAGAAACGACTGGTAATTTCAAACTGCTGACCTTGAGGTTAGCAGCCCGACTCATAACCACTACACTACCAATGTTCCTTTGCTCGAAGTATATTGTTGTTGTTGTTAGGTGCCATCGAGCATAACAGAACAAAACACTGCCCAGTCCTGGGCCAACCTCACAATTGTAGCCACACTTGAACCCATTGATGCTGCCACTTTGACAATCCATCTTGCTGGGGTCTTCCTCTTTTTCTCTGACCCTACACCTTACCAAACATGATATCCTTCTCGAGCAACTGGTCCCTCCTGACAATATGTCTGAAGTATGAGAGATGAAGTTTGGCCATCCTGGCCTCCAAGGAGCACTCTGGCTGCACTTCATCCAACACAGATCTGCTTGTTCTTTTGGCAGCCCATAGCACTTTCAATATTCTCCGCCAACACCATAACTCAAAAGCAGTCTTCCTTAAACACTGTCCAGCTTTCACATGCATATGAGGTTATTGCACAAAGTATAGCTACTCACATTTCCTTTTATTTACTTTACCGCAGTGCTTAAAACACTATATTGCAACTGCCTATTTATTTCTAAGTATCATTCATCCTGATGTGGTGCTGTGGATTAATGCGCCAGACTGCAAAGCCATTTGAACTTCAAGGTCGGTGGTTCAAGTCACCAGCTGCTCCTCAGGAACCCTATATAGAGTAGATAGGGGTCAGAATTGACTTGATGGCACTTAACAACAACAATATCATCCACTAGATGTAAAATTTTGTAAAACAGAGACATTGTTATATCTTCAGGGCAGAGCATGGTGTCTGATAACACTGCTGTTGTTGTTAAGTGCCATAGAGTCAGTTCCAACTCTGTGTAGGTTTTCCAAGGAGTGGCTGGTGAATTTGTACTACTAACCTAGTAGTATAAAACCTACCTAGCAGTCCAGTGCTTTCTCCTACAGTACCACATGAGGGCTGGTAACACTAGTAGAGTGAATTCATGAAGGAATAATGGAAGATTGCAGTCTCTTTACCTCCATGGTTTATGCTATCTAATTTTCAAATGAAAATAGATTCATTGATATATAAATAGCACATGTTTTAAGTTTTTGTTTGATTTCTCCCTGGTAAAGACCATATGCCTGATCCTTTGGCTTCAGATCACTTGTATGTGATCAAGAAATATTTATTAATTTCAGTAAGAGTGTTAGAAAAACAATTTAGCTAAATTTAGCCCAGAAGAACGATAACACAAAATAATTTGGGTATGATTTATCATTTTGGAATACTTGTTCCTCCATTTTACTGGATTAATAATTCTAAAGTGAATAAAATTTTAAATACTTGCCAGTCACAGTTTGCTCATAGTTGGTTGATTTTGATCTTAACTTCATTTCTTTATTTGTTTTGGAAGCTTGAGAAGATATTGAAACTTTCCTTTCTATTTGAGGTTCATTCAGATTTTTAGGAAGAAAAAAGAATGGTATGGAAGAAACAATGGCGAATAGTCCAGCCACTAGGAAACCAAGCCACCAAGCACCAACCCAACGAGAATCCTTTGGAGTTATGTGAACACTGCCTATAATAAGGAATTACAAAGAAACAGTCATTCAAAAATTACTTTGATATGCAATAATATTTTTAGCAAAAATCAGAGTCATTGCTTTCCTCCATAGATAAAGAAAGAAGTTAATATTACATTAATTCTAAGACATTAATGTCTTTTGTTCAGCCATCTCTGCAATCAGGATTATATCTTAAAATTGTTGTTGTCCAGATATCAGTTCTGATATTCTTCTCATTGCCTAAACCTTAGCAAACTTGAGATTCAGAAAACACTAGCATTAAAATTCATAGCAGTTTGCAAAAAATTCTTGAGCTGATAGTGGAGCAGATTTTTTCAGAAACCTGTATCTTTATATTGATGGCAGTGATATTGGTAGAAAAATACAATCAATAAAAATTGAGTTTCAAAGTGACCCAAGTAATCGCTAATCTATTCGAGATATTTCATACAACTGGAATCATACAATATTTATACTTTGATGAATGGTGTATTCACTCAGCATACTTTCACAGTTCATTCATGTTGTATATTTTAGAATTTGATTAATTTTTATACTGAATATTATTCCATTGTATGTATAAACTATATTTTGTTTATTCATTCAAAGAGTTGGAAAAAGAGAGAAGGGGGAGTTATTTATTGATAGGGAGATTTTCTATTTGGGGTGATAAAAATTTAGAAACTGATGGTGGTGATAGTTATACAAAATTGTGAATGTAATCAATGTTATTGAGCCATGCACTTAAAGTTATGAAAATGGAAATTTTCATGTTACATATACTTTGTTGTTGTGTGTCATTGATTCAGTTCAACCCAGAGACCCTATAAAAGATTCCCAAAGAGTGACTGAGTTTGAACTGCCAACCTTGTGGTTCAAAATGACCTTGTGGTCCTGTGCTTTATCCCACAGTGCCATACCAGGACTCCACTTTAGCACAATAAAACTTCAAACAAGGGATCCAGGTATAATTTAACCATTTCAACTATAATTTCCTTTTAATGCGTTGATAAGAATGATGTGCTAATTCTATATCTTAACAAGTGAAAATTAAATTTTTTATAAAGATTGAATAAACACTTTAAGTAAGAAAGCATTTGCATGTACATGAATACATACACCATAGAAGCCTGAAGCATTTTAAAGGGTACCATTACTCTTTGCTTGAAAAGAAAAAAAATCATTAACATGAGAAAATATTAACTTGATTTAAAAGTATCTAAAAATAAAGTTTTAATTTATTTACATAATTGGTGTTCAAGTCTGCACAGATCTGGGTTTAAAAGTTATTTAAATTATCTTAATTTAATATACATTGTTCCATAATCAACAATGCATATAGAGTCCAGGAAATGATTGCTTAAATCAGTGATTCAATCTACAGGATAAGTTATTTACTTGTCATCAATCGGGATGTCAGTTTGATGCCATTTATTATGTTACATCATTGGCCTCCACTTGGATACTAGAGACAGTAACCTATCTAGATACGCCCTGCAAAAAAATTTCCCATAACTCACACACTGTCTTAAAGAATGGTTAATTCCATATGAATCAGAAGTTCTTGTCAATGCTGGGTCTCAATTTCTGCATGAATGGAGTAGGCGGGGGCTGAGCAGCACACACATTTTTAGTGGGGAGATGAGAAAGGTAGTTCATCACCATCAGTTCTTCCTAGCCCACACTCTACTCTTGTACTTGAGATGCTTTATTCATTTGTGTTACCTCTTTGGCTCCTCTAAGCATTGGAGTTTGGTAAAGTGTACTTTATAGCATGTTCACACGATACTCGTCACTGAACAAGAAAAGTGGTTAAAAATAGAATCACCATAAATTCTAAAGTACTCTAATGATTTCTGAGTATAGTAGAGAGGTTACAAACCTATCATCTTAAATAATTTCAGCATTTATTTCTGTATTCTTAGAGTTAAAAATAAATGGAGGCCTGGTGTGGTACTTTAGGGTAAGCACTGGACTTTCTTTTTGGTACAGTGACTCTATGTATTCCCTCCATCTTCTTTTAATGTTTTCTACATCATTCAATTATTTGCCCAGGACCTCCACTTGCTGATGGGGCACAACTCAAAATGAAGAGAAACAGCTGTTAACATCCATTAATAATTGGAACATTGAATATGTGAAGTATGAATCTAGTAAACTTGGAAATATTTGAAAGTGCAATTGAATTGATATCCTAGGCATTAGTGACCTAAAATGGATGGTATAGGCCATTTTGAATCTGACAATTACATGGTTTACTATGCCATGAATTGAAGAAGAATGGTGTCACACTCATCATCAAAAAGGGGCAAACTGTGGAACAGACCATAAAATGCTCATATGCAAGTTCAGGTTGAAGCTGAAGAAAATGAAACCAAGTCCATAAGAGCCAAAATATGACCTTAAACATATCTAACTTGAATTTAGAGATGACCTGAAGAAGAGATTTGATGCATTAGATACAAAAGACAGAAGATCGGTAGAGTTGTGAGATGACATCAAGAACATCATACAGAAAGAAAAAGGTCGTTAAGAAGACAAGAAAGAAAGAAAACACCAAAATGGATGTCAGAAGAGACTCTGAAACTTGCACTCCAGCAGACAGATGGTAAAACAAATGGAAGAAATGAGGAAGTAAAAGAACTGAATAGAAAATTCCAAAACTCAGTTTGAGAAGACAAAGTCAACTATTATAACAAAATGTGCAAAGACCTGTTAAGAACACACTCAGCATTACTCAAGCTGAGGGAACTTAAAAAAAAAAAAAAAAAAAATGAAGCCTTTTCTTGAAATATTCAAGGATTCCCTGGGAAAATTATTGTATAATGCAGAAAGCATAAAAAGAAGGTGGAGGGAATATACAGAGTCACCAAAAGGAAAAGGTCAGTGTTCAACCATTTCAAGAGGTAGTATATGATCAAGAACTAATGACACTGAAGGAAGAAGTCCAAAGTTCGTTGAAGGCATTGGCAAAGAAAAAGGCACTAGAAATTGATGGAATACAAATTGAAATCTTCCAACAAACTGATGCAGTACTGGAGACACTCACTCATCTATGCCAAGAAATTTGAAAGACAGCTACCTGGCTGGCTGACTGGAAGAGATCCATATTTGTGCCCATCCCAAAGAGAGGTGGCCCAATGGCATGCAGAAATCATCAGACAATATTATTAATATTGCATATAGGTAAAATTTTGCTAAAGATAATACAAAAATGGCTCTAATTGTACAATGACAGAGAACTTCCAGAAGTCCAAGCTGGATTCAGAAGAACATGTGGAATGAGGCACATCATTGCTAATGTCAGATGGACCTTGGCTGAAAGCAGAGAATAACAGAAAGCTGTTTGCTTGTGCTTTATTGACTATGCAAAGGCTTTTAATTGTGTGGATCATGACAAGGTATGGACAACATTGTGAAGAATGACTATTCTGGAACACTTAATTGTGCTCATGAGGAACCTCTACATAGACCAAGAGGTAGTTGTTTGAACAAAATAAGGGAATACTGAATGTTTTAAATATAGGAAAGGTGTGTGCCAGGGTTGTATTCTTTCACCATAATTATTCAATCTGTATGCTGAACAAATAATTCAAGAAACTGGATTATATGAAGGCAAACCTGGCCTTAGGAATGGAGGAATAGTCCTTAAGAACCTATGATATGCAGATGATACAATTTGTTTGTTGAAACAAAGAGGACTTAAAATACTGCTTAAGATAAAAAACTACAATCTTCAATAAGAATTGCATCTCAATGTAAAGAAAACAAAAATTCTCACCACTGGACCAATAAACAGCATCCATATAAATGGAGAAAAGATTGACATTGTCACTGACTTCATTTTACTCAGATCAATCATCAGCACTCATGGAAGCATGTGTCAAGAAATCAAAAGACATATTGCACTAGGCAAATTTGCTGCCCAAGACCTCTTTAAAGTGTTGAAGAGCAAAAACATCTGTTTGAGGACCTAAGGGCGCCAGATCCAAGTCATTGAATTTTCAATAACTTCATATGCATGTGAAAGGGAGACTTTTGAAGAATTGATGCATTCAAATGATAGTGTTAGAGGAGAATATTGAAAGCACCATGGACCCCCAAAAGAACAAACAGATCTGTGTTCCAGAATGCTCCTTGGAAGCCACGATGGCCATCCTTCAGATGTATTATCAGGAGGGTCCCTGGAGAAGGATATCATGTTTGGTAAAGTGGAGGGTTGGAGAAAAAGAAGACCGCCAAAGGACTGGATTGGCGCAGTGGCAGAGTAATGACCTTAGGCATGGCAACGATTGTGAGCTTGGCATGGGACTGAGCAGTGTTTCATTCTGTTGTGCATAGGGAGACTATGAGTTGGTACCAACTCATTGGCATCTAACAACAACACACCAACAAAGGGAAGTAAGATTTCTATGAAGAAGAGTCACATTTCGGAAGAGACTTTTAGAGCACTGCAGATAGAAAAGGGAGGGATGGTTTCCAAGTGTAAATTCAGAAAAGGGCACACTGAGAGACCTATAATTATTCATGTACTATTTTCATATTATGTTTTTGTTAATTGCCTTTGAGTTGATTGTGACTCATGATGAAATCATGTGTGAAGAACAGAACTGTTCTAAAGAGTTTTCAAGGCTGTGACCTTTCGGAAGCATACTGTGAGGCCTGTCTTACAGTGTGTCTCTGGATGGGTTTTATCTGCCAAACTTTAGGCTAGTATTCCATTCAGGAAATTCTTGGGAAATATTTTATAGAAGAGTTGTTGTTAGGTGCCATCAAGTTGGTACTGACTCATAGCGATCTTATGCACAGCAGAACAAAACACTGCTCGATCCTGGGCCAGCCTCACTATTGTTGCCACACTTGAGTCCATTGATGCTGCCACTTGGCCAATCCATCTCACTGGCCATCTCACTGGGGGTCTTCCTCTTTTTCTCTGACCCTCCACCTTACCAAACATGATATCCTTCTCCAGCTACTGCTCCCTCCTGACAATATGTCCAACGTATGAGAGACAAAGTTTGGCCATCTTGGCCTCCAAGGAGCAGTCTGGCTGCACTTCTTCCAACACAGATCTGTTGGTTCTTTTGGCAGCCCATGGCACTTTTAATATTCTCCTCCAACACCATAACTCAAAAGCATCAATTCTTCTACGGTCTTCCTTATTTACTGTCCAGCTTTTGTACACATATGAGGTTATTAAAAATACCATGGCTTGTGCCAGGTGTACCTTAGTCCTCAAGCTGAGATCTTTGCTCTTCAACACTTTAAAAAGGGCTTGTGCAGCAGATTTGCCTAATGCAAGATGTCTTTTGATTTCTTGACTTCTGCTTCCATGAGTGTTGACAGTTGATTCAAGAAAATGAAGTCCTCAACAACTTCAATCTTTTCTCTGTTGGTAAGAATGTTGTTTCTTGGTCCAGTGGTGAGGGACTACTAACCACAAAGTCAGCAGGGAGAATCTACCAGTTGCTTTGCAGCAAAAGGATGAGGCTTTGCGCTCCTGTAAAGATTTATAGTCTTGGAAACCCTTTACAGGGTTGCTATGTGTCAGAACCAACTCCACGGCTCAAAATCACCACCAGCCACCATGGACTTTGTGTGGCCCTGTAGGATAAACATCAGAGGGCTAACCACAAGGTCAGCAGTTCAAACACACCAGTTGCTCCTTGGAAACCCTATAAAGGATCGCTATGAGGAGGAACCCACTCGACAGTACTAAACAACAAAAACAGCAAGATGGCATTCTATGGAGTTTGACTTAAAAATATAAGTGCAAAGTTTAGCCATTGAAACAGGAGATGACATTCTTCAGATTTTAATATTATTATTATTATAGAAACAGTGTGGTGGAAAAATGAAAATAAGTGAGACTAAAAATGGAATATAAGTAAGAGGTTATGCAGTAATTTAAGCAATAGTTGAAGTAAGACAAAGACATTTGGTAAGATAGTAAATACAGGGAGGTTTGAGGTCTCAATAGCAGTCCTGCTGTGGCGCTGTATGATAAACACTTTAAACTCTAGGCCATAAAATTGGCTTGAACCTTAAGGTCAGAGGTTCAAACTCACCAGCTGTTATTTGGAAACTCTATACATGATTGCTATGAGTAGCAACTGACTTGTTGGCACATAACAACAACATCTGTAAAAGAGAAAATAAACATGTACTAGCACTCTGAATTAAGATCAATTATGAAAAAAAAAGTATCTAGTTGTTATTGTTAAATGCTGCCAAGAAGTAAATTAGATAGAAATTGACTTAGCTTCATTAGTGGAAGAAGCCAGCATATAGAAAGGAAGTGAGTAGGTGAAGATTTCTAATTTAGATTATTTTTAAGGTGCTTGGCTATAAAGAAAAACAAAATTGGCTACAAAATAGTTTTTAGGACTAAAAATCTATATTTGTAAAAATTGAGAGAGATTTGTATATGTTTACTAAGGAGTATAAAGGGTAGTGATGGAGAGGCTAAAGATACAAGTGTGGAGCAGGCAAAGAATTGTTGGAAGTAGCTATCTGAGGAAACAGGAAGAGAGACTCTGGACCCCAAGTGGAGCTATGAACATTGGCTAAAGACAAAAAACTTTTCCTCTGAGATGGGAAAATAAGAAATGAACATAGGCTTATGTAAAGGAAGGAGGACCTGAATTTGAGGCAGTTTCCATAATATGGTCTCTATTTCCTTTATGACATAAGAAGGAAAATATTCTCCAAGAGTGAAGAGGAAGATCATAATTATCATTAACATATTAATTTCTTCATACTTCATTCAACAAACACTTGGTAACTATTGTCATATGCCAAGCTATATGTCAGGAATAGAGAATGTGATGAAAAACAAAGTCAACAGTGGCAATTGCTACATGAGTCAACCAGGCAGCCACAAGAAAATTTTAGCAAAGAACTATGTAACTTCTATACCACACAAACCAGGTCAATTCTGGGAGAAGAACATTTTCAGTTGGTTTTTTCAGATCCAAAATTCCAAAACATGATTGTTTAAATTGTCTGATTTTATTTTGTTTTTTAAAATGAAGGAAGGTAGAATAATTTGTGAACCAGGGAAGCCCAGAGCAACCCGGTAATCACAAACTACTCTGGCAGCAGTCAGAGGTCGTACCGGGCTTAAGTATCACAGTATCAATTTCCTCATTTTATAATTAGTTATGAATGCATGATATAGACAGATAGAAGTTGACTTTTTTTAAAAATTCAGATTATTAATAACTTTATTTCCTATATATCTGTAAATTTCAGAAAACAGTATGCAAAGAACTATGGAGAGAATAAAACTGGTTATTTGGGAAAATAGTGTTTTGGAATTGAAATGCACTAGCACATTACCATGTTCTGGCTGTACTTACTTAGATCTACGTATCCAATGTCCACATACAGTTTAGCAAACTGAGAGCCCAAGAAAAAGCCAATGGCAGGACCAATCATGGCTATTGCATTCAAAGAACCTGAAAATATGTGTGCAATTTTATCATATGTCGAGGAAACATGGTTCTTATTCGTTAATAATCAAAAATTGAATTTAGTTACATATAATTATCTCACAGATATACATGGGGATAGTAAGCACACAATCTAATATTTTCTGTACATTACCTACATAGAAAGAAGAATGCCCGTCTTTAGCAAAATCATCAATGTAAGAAACCCCCAAAGGTCCTATTGGGGTTTCCCCAATTCCACGAAGTAGATTACCCATTAAAACATATATCCACATGTATGATCCAGATTCCTTTACACAGTCTGTGAAGAAAAAAATGTATCTTATTTTAAACATTGATTTTAGCTTTTAACCTTCCTAGTAAAAACTCAACTCCCAGTTTCGTTTAAGAGTTTCTTCCCCACTTTTTTTAACTGTAAAAATACTTCACATTTGCTTTACAAAGTTTGAATACACAACAGAAAGGCACAAAGAAAAGGAGAAAAAAATCATTTGTAATCCCACAAACATTTCTAATGTTTGCTATATGCCTTTTATGATTTTAGTTTGCATAAAAATATGCATAATGTCCTTTGTGGATTCTTCAATATCCAGCTCATATTGCAACTTGCATTGAAACTTGATATCATATGACAATTTCCTATGTTATTAAAATTTTTACAATTTTGATGATTGCATAATACTATATTAAATAAAGTTTTCGTAATTTATTTAAACAATCCTCTATTTTTATTTGTGAAATATTTCTATTTTTAATTCTGTTAAGTAGTGAAGTCATTTCCATAATAATTAATAAACCCTTGTGCACATTCCTAATTCTTTTCTGAAGACAAATACATAGAAATATAATTTTTCATTGAATATGTATGTATATTTTTGTTTTCTAATATTTAATGACAATTAGCTTCCTAAAAGAGCTACACATTTACATACTCCTGTGAGCTAACGCATTGGACTGCAAGGTCAGTTTGAACCGCAAGGTTAGTGGTACAAACTCCTAGCAGCTCCTTGGAAACCCTATACAGGGATGCTATGAGTCAGAAATGACTTGCTAGTACTTAACAACAATATTAACAACAATATGTTAATGCAACTTTTTTCTTCACCTCAGTAATTTTTAATTTTTTGTAAACTCAAAAGTTAAAAAAATCTTTAAATAATGTATGCACTGAAATTATAATTTATAATATAATTTCTGAAATTTTTAATTGGTGTTACAATTTGCATTTTAATGAAGAACAAAGCTATATTTGTTTATGTATATGCATAATACTTCCCTCTTCTTTATTTTAAATGCATATATTTTTTGCCAATTTTCCTGCTTTCACCTTTTCTTACTTCTTTCTAAAAGCTCTTTACACATAAAATATAAAGACTGATTTTGACTATAGATAAGATGCAACTATTTTGTGTATTTTCTTTTTAAAATCAATTTTATTGATAGTACAATTGTTTTTTTATTACAGGTACAATTAAATTGGTAAATTTTAGAATGATTATTTGTGTCACTATTAATTCTTACCATTTCCCACTATATCAGGTGATGTTCTATCGAGTAATAAAGGTTGATTAATTAAACAGGTTGACAAGCTTGATGTTGAGTTCAGTGATGGATTAGTGATTTCTTTAGAAAACCTATAACTGCAAGAACATTATTGGATTTAAAATTTTTATTATCTACTAAATATTTTCACTTATTCCAGAAACACATAGGAGTTTTTCTCTTTAGTTGTACTCTTCATTATTTTTCCAATGTGTGTTTTAGAGAAGAGACGGGTGAAAGTGATGGGAGAGTTCACTAAGAAAGACCATTTGATATTCCCCAGGTAAAATGGTTATCAAGTTGCCTTCATCTACAACGTGCTTATATTCCGGTTAAAATATGGAATATCTTGGTTTCAGAAATATTTTTTTAACTACTAGCTGCGTCTATCTATGGAGTCCTGGTATTGTGCTGTAGGATAAAGCCCTGGACCGCGAAGTCAGTTTGATCCACAAAGTCGGCAGTTCAAACTCACCAGACAATCCCTGGAAACCCTATACAGGGTCCCTCTAAGTGGGAACTGATTCAATAGCACCTAACAACAGCAACATGTCTATCTATTCCTTTGATTACACTCTAAACTTCCTGATAATAACTGATGACATCTTGGTGTAATACCATAGGATAAGTACTCGACCTCAAGGTCAGTCTGAACTGCAAGGTCAGCGGTTTCAAACTCACAAGCTGCTCCTCAGAACCCTATACAGGGTAGCTATGAGTCAGAACTGAATCCAAGGCACTTAACGAGAACAACAACAATAAATTTTAGGACAGTATTTTTCAAGTCAACATTTAAATATATCAATACATCAACATTTATTATTAAGGAGCTCTAGTAGCGTAGTCGTTACAAATCGGGCT